GGAATTGAAAATACCATGGCCTAAATGAGGTACACCTTGATCCTTGACAACAAAGATGTCCTTGACAACAGATTTACTCTTTGAAATCTGTCTTTCAGTTTTTGGACTGCTGATAAAATGACTGTTGATTGTGGATCCAAGTAAAATGAAATCACTGGTAACATTAATCTTTTCTCCATCTATTATGCAATGGTGAGGATTTTTTTTTCTTGATGTCAAGCTGTAATCCATATAGAAGGCTGTAGTTCCTCATGTTGTTCAATGAGTGATTCAAGTCTTCTTTAATTTCTGAAAACAAGGTGGTGTCATCTGGATAGCACAGATTGTTAACAGGTCTTCTTCCAATCCTTATGCACTTTTTCATAGATTCCCCTTTCTTGAATTGTCTTTTCAGCATACAGATTGAAAAGGTAGGAAGGTAGGATACAACCTTGTTGCACATCTTTCCTGAAGCTAAATCTTCACCTCATTCTGTTATAATAAGTGCTTTCTAACACATGTAGAGATTTCAAAGGAGCATAATTAAATGTTGTCAAATTTTCATTGTGAGTTGTTGTTGTTTATATATTTAACTAACGATGCTGTCATGACGATCTCCAAATCGTCGTAACTATATAGTACCACTGGGTCAGGAGATTTGGTGACCTGGTGTCTAAGAGGTTAAACTGCTAACCCCAAAGCAGGAAGTTAGGATGCATTAGATTCTCTGTTGAAGAAAGATGAGTACACTCCCCTTGTGTGATTTACAGCCTCTCACAAACCACTGGAGGGTCAGCCACAAGTCAGTTCTGACTAGATAACAATGACTGAGTGATCACGAGATCTGTGCATTCTTAATATATTCATAAAATAAATGTCAGTAACTAAGATGCAGATTTATGATGTTGGACAGTAGCATTTCACTGTATCTGCACAAAATATGGTTATTTTAAAGGTGAAGAGATGCTATGTTATTTAAAAAATCAACCTTAAATAAAAATATCAAAACCCCAATCTTAAAATGTTTGTAAATCTTTGAAGAAAATTAGCCAATTCTGAAATTAAAATTGTATCTTGGTGCCTACATTAAAAAAAAAAGTGCATTGTACAAAATGATACATGTAAAAAACATACACAGGACTGGAAAAGAGATAAATCATGTTAAAATGCATGAAGTTTTAAAAATATAAAATATACATTTATATGTCATTTTATGATACATTATGTGATATACATTATATATAATTGATATTTTTTTATATGTGAAATATCAATTTTCAGGAAATAAAAGAGCTCTGGGTCCACTTGGAATATGGTTGTACTCCAGAGAATGAGATATGAGAGGGAGAATTTTTTCTACTAAATTAAAAATAATAGGAAGGAGTTGGCACTTAAGAATGGAGAAAATTGTAGGATGAAATACTTTCAAGTCAAAGAGCAGCAGGGAGGAAAAACTACAAATAGATATAGTTCTTAGGTAGAGACAACTGGACTGTGTCAAAGATGAACCTTCTCTGGGATTAACAAAGCCAAGTTTGTACAACTGCGATTTACTACCTTTGTCATCAGCTCTTTTGTCTTGATAAATTCACTTCACCTCTGTGAACCTGTTCCTTTCTTTAAAAATGTGGATAATTTTCTGATTTGATAAAATTTAGTCAAATGACATTGAGAATATCCTTCATTCACATGGATTTAATGGAACACATGTCAATTCAGAATTTTGGTATAAACTCTGACATGTTAAAATCCTCCACGGGGCGTGGGGGGTGGGTGGCGATGAGGGAAATTGGCAGAATTTGTTCTAGAAAATAATGTATTAGAATCTTGTAAATGAACTAGTATTTTTTTAAAAAAACCAAACCTCCACCTTGTCATTTCTCTCTTGGCTTTCTTTCTTTAAGAAGAAATGAGCTTAACAAATTGAAAATAAACAAATTTCCTGTGTGCAATTGGAAAACCATGATCACAGAGTAAACGGACATCCCATGTACACACAACTAAAGCAGAGGTTGCTTGAGCCATAAATTGAGAGGCACAGTTACACGATATATTTTGGTATTAGAAGTTTCACCACTGGGCCAAAAGGCAACACCATGGAGTTGTTAGTGATTTAAACTTGCTTGTATCCACAGTCAACACAACTAGTACCAGCAGTCAAGGAATCATCAAAAGGTGTATTGCTTTGAGAAATTCTGCTGTAAGGGACTTCTTCAAAACACAGCATTGCAGTGAATTCAGCCTAAAGATTAAGATATCTCTGATTCATATCATGGTCTTTTCAATCTGAGAAATGGTCTTTCATCTGCTATGTACCTGAGAGTTGGACAATGAATAGAAAGGACAAAAGAAAGGTCAATGTCTTTGAGTTGTAGTGTTGGGAAAGAATGCTGAGTATTCTATGGACTGACAAAAGAACAAACATATATCTCTTGGAGAAAGTGTAGCCGAAGTGTTCCTTAAAGGCAAGGATATTTGGACATGTTGTTAGGAGAGACTATTCTTTGGAAACTGACATCATTCTTGGAAAGGTGGAGGAGGGTCAGGAAAAGAGAAGAAGACCCTAAATGAGATGGATTGCTGGGTGCAGCAATGAGATCAAGTATATCAGAGATTATAAGGATGGCACAAGATCAGACAGGATTTAGATCTACTATTCATAGGCTTGCTATGAATTATAATCAGCTAGGTGGTTCTTAACAACAACAACAACATTGAAGTACTTGCAGATTAACCCATGAGTGAGAATTTCCTGAGGACTGCACTCTAGAGGGTACTTTTCCAATCTCCCTTGTTATCTACCACCTGTAACTTCGTCTGTATTTTTCTTGCCTCACAGACTTGTAATCACTATCTTCTCAGATTTATCTCCACAAATCCTTCCAAATTCTCACAGGAAAAAAAAAATAAAGTTTCCTCAAAGAAGTGGTAGGGACAGGTAAAAAGAACCCATTTTGAAATCAGTCCAGAGCATCTTCCATAACAAAGCCCCACTCTGCAGAAGAAAAGACTTTACTAGAGCATGTCTTTGACTGCCAACAATATGTTTTGTGGTTTGGACCCATTAACTGCTACCTAGGCGAAAGATGGACAGATTTCCCCTCAAAATGTTTATAGCCCCAGAAACATGATGGAGGCTTTCCTTGAGTTATAACTGCCTCAATGACAGTGGTTTTTCTTTCCTTTATAATATGATTCTCCAGATCCAAGTCAATCAAATAAAATTAAATGCAAGTTTAAAAAAAAATTATTGATGAGTTTAGTCCCTCTAGGCTTCCTGTCTCATCCAAGGGTATAAACAAAGATGACAACACACACGCTAACAAGCACACTCATGAAGGTGTAAATGATCAACACACTGAAAGACTGACATTTAATTTTAACATTAGAGAATGCTTCCCTTCCCTATCTTTTACCACTACATCAATAGACTAACCACACAGAGATAGCAAATTAAAGTAAAAAGGGCTTCAGGAAACAGACTCTACTCAGAAAGTTCTGTTTTCCTGTTTCTGTCAAGCCAGTTTTAATCATGGTGGCCTCACGTAATGTATATACAGCACGGCTGCTCTGTATAGGTTATTTGTTTGTTTGGGCTCTAATGCTGGAAATAGATTGTCAGAACTGTTTCCACAGCACCATTGGTGAGAACATTTGAGCCCTCAAACTGTATATTAGAAGTTGAATGCATACTTCTTTACCATCTAAAGACATTAAAATATTCTTTCATAATCCAGGATATAACATGGAAACAAAACCGAATGCATTAGAGGGATATAAAGGCATTTAGACCTGGTGGCATAGCTGTTAAACAATAGATTTCTAATGGAAAGATTGTAAGTTCAAGACTACCAGTCCTTACCATGTGTTACTGTTGTTGCTTTGTGCTGTCAAGTCACCTGTGACTCTTCGCAACCCTATGTACAGCAACTCTGAACTCCGTCCTATCCTGAGCCAATCTCAATGTCTCTGACACACCTGTCTCTATTACTCTGGTCACCGTGCCATCAATATGACAACCTTCCAAATGGCATGGTGCAGTTCTACTCTCTTCTGTAGGATAATCATGGGGCTTTTATTATTGTGAATTTTAGTTTGGCTTAGGGTTTTAGTTGCTTTTGTTTCCTTTTAGCAGCAACAGCAAGCATTAAAAATCTATCACCTCTTTAGTTTGATCACAAATACTATTTTTATAATATCATTTTCTCACCTGTCCCACTGATGAAAAGAAGGATAGGTAGGACTTAAAGCAGGAAAACAGTGTAGGGAAGTTCTCCTCAAATAGCTAATGTTCTTATGTCACACATAAATGGAAAGTGAGAGGATTTCTTAAAAGCACCAGATGAAATTGTCTTCTTGTCCTTTCTAGGGGATAGGTCCTGAGGACTGTATTTTAGGATTAAGGACTCAATCTCACTGTACTTTCTTTGCTATCCTATTTAGTTTCAAAAAACATCCATGTATGAATATTGTATTTCTGGCAATAATAAAAACCAGAAGTTATATTCCACTTCTCAAGAGAGCTAGAGATAACTGGATATTTTTCTTGGCATAATTCTTGCTATTGTTACTATCCTTAATATACAACTATCATTCCTACTTTAAGTAGAACTCTTTCCCTTTCTTGAGGTTAGCTCTTCCTTATGGGTGCTCCTTATGGGTCTTTCCTAGAAAAAGAATGAGAGACATAGGTATTTCCCTGGAGCATGGCATGCAGAAAAAAGAAAGGAGATAAAAAGGAGGCAAGAAGAAGATCAAGGAGAGCCAGCCAAAAAAAGATTCCTTAGAAGTCAGGGCTCGCTATAACAAAGTTAGTGGACATCTTTCACTGCTGACCCTCTCCTGACCTGACTCCACCCCTGAAACACACAGCTCAGGCTTGACCAATGACCATGAAGCACTAGTTGCAGTAGGGGGTTAGGAAGTCTGCAGAGAAGAATAAAAGGGCCTAACTTCCAGCAGCAACACAGACCGGATTCTGGCACATTTGCGATTTCCAGCAAACTCCCAAATCGTACACTATGGTGCATTTTACTGCTGAGGAGAAGGCTGCTATCACAAATCTGTGGGGCAAGGTGAACATAGAAGAGATTGGTGGTGAGGCCTTGGGAAGGTAGGTTTGGTATTAATCCAGGGAAGAGAAAGGGTAAATTTGAGTCTGCAAACTGACCAGAAGTCTCCTTACTATGTCAGAGTGTTTCTAATTTTCATTTTCTATTATTCTATCTCATAGGCTTCTGGTTGTCTATCCATGGACCCAGAGGTTTTTTGACACTTTTGGCAATTTGTCCTCTGCCTCTGCCATCATGGGCAACCCCAAGGTCAAGGCTCATGGGAAGAAAGTGCTGACCTCCTTTGGAGATGCAGTTAAGAACATAGACAATCTCAAGGGAGCTTTTGCTAAACTGAGTGAACTGCACTGTGACAAGTTACACGTGGATCCTGAAAACTTCCGGGTAAGTCCAGAAGATGTTCACTTGTTCTTTTTTATTTTTACTTTGGGATAATAATAATAATCAATAATAATAATAAAAACAATAGAGAACCCTATGATTAGAAAGCCAAAACCAACAAAACTCTAAAATAGTTTGGTGTTAAAAGAGTAAGCTGAGTGGTGTTGAAAGAATTGGCATACTCATGGCCTATTAGGCTCAGAGGTGAAGTCAGTAAAGGCTGTTAGATGCCTCAGTTTTAAAAAAAAAAAGTAAAACTTTTAACAGAATCAGATGTATTCATCTTAAAGAATACTGAGGAAAAACAGGTAAACTTTATTCTCTGTGAATCTAAAAGATTGTAGTATGTCAATAAAATGGAGGAAAATGATAATTTTTTTCTCAAAGAAAAAGATAACCTACATTATAAAATTTGTTAAATATCTTATCAATATCATATCCAAAGAGACTTTTTTTTCTGCATTGATTGATGATTTTAACAAAATTCCCCCCAGGGAGCCCTTGTGTTCCTGAAATCCTACATTTATAAGAAGAAGGTAATCTTTTATTTGAAAGGGAGGCAAACAAAATAGTACAGTGGAGAGAAAATGATGTCACTATGAGGAGACATAATGTTGAATAGAGAGTTTAAAATAATATTGAATATAGATACTATTTTACTTGAGTTTAATGGAGCAGTTTGAGCTAGGATGTGAGCAAGGATATGAGTATTCAGCTTTTTTTTCCCCCCGAAAAATTCTTTTTAGGAATTTCTACTCAACATGCCTCTTTGTCATTTTGTCTTTTCACCAATAGCTCCTGGGCAATGTGATCGTGATCATTATGGCTTCGCATTTTGGCAAGGAGTTCACCCCTGAAGTACAGGCTGCTTGGCAGAAACTGGTGGTTGGTGTTGCCACAGCTCTGGCTCACAAGTACCATTGAGTCCTCTGGCTCTCATGCAAGTGCCCCTGTGTGCCCACCACCTTTATTCTTCACGTGACCATTAGGGCCCCGCCTTGAACTCAGACCTTCTGTTTAATAAAGCACATTTTATTCCGTAATCAAGAGTGATATGTCATTTTTTCCATGTTTAATATTTTCTTGGGTTTATGAGTTGAAGAGTCTGAAAGACACGATAAGAAACAAAAACACCTTTGAACAGGTGTAAAGGCTCATCAAAGGAAGGGAGATTCTCTGAGAGGATTCTAAAGGGTAAAGAATGATGTCAACTAATAAGATTCTTTGGAATGGCAGCTAATCACATAGAGGAGATTGCCCATTGTTCTCTCATGGAACGACTGGTGGATTTGAAACACATGCCTTTGAGTTGTCAGAGCAATTCCTTCTCTCTAAAAGCTATCATCAGAGACCCCTGGTATAACATCAGTTCTCTGGAAATAGTTGTTATTGATGTAAATGCTATTCAGTTGATTCCAACTCATAGTAAGCCCGTGTAACAGTGTAGAACTCTCCCACAGGAGAGAAGTTTATCAGTCCACTGTTTAAATTCTGTACAATCAGAGCTATCAGTAGAGGACAGAGTTAAAAAGAAGGTTGAGTGTCAACAAAGATGGAACTATGCTGGACTTTGAATTTTAAAATGGAAGCTATTTTTGTGTAGTTGGCAATACCCAACTCAACCCCAATCACTACCCTGTAGTAATTTCCTATTCATAATGACCCTCCGTCTTGTCCTCCAATGTAGCTAGTAGTCAGTAAAAATTATCAAGCTATTAAGTGGCTCAAGGAACAGCATTTTGGAAAAGTACTCTGCTTATGCACACAGAATAGGTTTTGCATGCATAAAAGCACAAAAAGTTGCACCACTAGACAAGGTATAATATTCTAAAGAAACAGACATGAGCACTAAAGTAGAAGACAGAGGAGATAGTTCTTACACAGCACTAACATCTGACTATGAAGTTTTGGGCCAAGTTCATGGACACAGCCTGTCCAAGCCATTAAATTTGAGTGAATAATGATAGCCAAGCTTGCTAAAAGTTGCTCTCTTAAAATCAGCCTGAATCAACTGAAATTCATTATTTAAGGTGGCTGAAGGCAGGGTGAGTATGTGGTGTGACCCATTTTTAAGATTCAGAGCAACCCTACGAACTAGTGTTGTTGTATACCATCAAGGCAGAACCAACCACACTGATCCTCCAGCAGGCTTTCAGAGGCAGTAAATTGTACAGACAAAGATTATCCATCCTTTTCCCTGAGCAACAAGATAATTTCTTCAGTGGGTTTCAAATAAAAGTTATCACAACACAAAACAATGATATTTCTAAAGAGCTGGCACTGGAAAATTTTCTTAAGACTTGAAAACTGTCCAAAATGCCAAAACTTTGAAAATTAAACCACTAAACACTTTCCCTGCCTTACAATCTCCGTGGAGCTGTTATACATACTGAGCGACATCACATTATCACACATATGATATTCCCATAAGGTTATTCCTAGAAGACTGTGAAAAGATTTACAAGAACCTAAAGTCCCAGAATCCATTAGTAGTATTTTACTATTTTACAACAATATTTTACAATACTGTTTAGCAGTATTGAAGACTATTAAGAAGGTTGTAGAAAAAATGGAAAATACCAGAAGTAACCTTATTTTAAAAGCAACATTAAATGATAATTGAACTGGATAATACAAACTGAATTTATTATATATTAAAGATCTTGGAAATCCCTCATTAACCTTTGACAGTGCTTCTTAAGGTAGAAACTCAGACAAATGGCCAAAGTATACATAGAGAGTTAGAAGCCCCTACAGTTTTTTTCCTGGGTCACAGGTAAATCCTATGAAGGTCTTTTGTAATATTGTGAAGAATAGATTTTTTTAATTTTAATTTCCTTAATAATATATACTCCTTCAGTGTTTCAGTATGGCAGTGTTGTAACAACATAGTTTTAGATTGAGAAATTCAAAGACCTTTGTCATGATAAGAAGAGGTGATAGGTTCATGTGTTCTAAGTTCTTTTCCTCTGTCCTCAGAGTAGTACAACTTCTATACATTTTATTAATCTCCTTTTCTACAGTGTTTTAACTTAAAGATTGAAGCAAGACAACACAGCTGGATAAGTACATTGTTTGGTATGATTCCTTTGTTCTCTTGTCTGTTTCATTTTTCTTTCAAAGCATTGGAAAGAAAAGCTGGACCTTATTTATCTAGATTTTAACTGCTACCTATATTGCTGAAATTGTGGGAAATCTAGTGTATCTAAGCCTTGTAAAGTTTCATAGTCCATATCAGCGTATCATTCGTGTTGGGTACCTAATTTTTCAGTGTTGTCTCCAATTCAGCATTGTGTTGTAACAAGGAACTTACTTTCTACATGAAGCAGTCCCAGAGCACACCTACAAACTGGGTTCAATTCTTTTTTTCTCTTATTCGTGAAACCTGACAATAAACAGAATGAAAGAATGAATCTCCTGCCACCTGGCCACACTGTGGTTATTCAGAGCTTTCATGAGGTGTCACAGAGGCTCAGCGTTAGAAACTTCGGCAACTCTGCTTGACTAGAGTCCTTTAGCTTCTTGATATCTTGAGACCTGGGCCATGTGAACATATGGAGACTAGCTTGGGGGCTTCCTCTTGCTGCTTTTCTCAGTTTTATGTGAGGATAAGTTTTGATCTTATAATTCCTTTCCCCTGGTACACTGGGTCTTTCATTCTCGAAATAATGTCAATCTAGCTTTCTTTAGAAACATAATTTCTAAACAAAAGTTCTAACCAAGAATTTCTAATTGTGGAGTGATGAATAGAAATGAATTTTTTTTATTTCTAGTGATTTATATGAAAATCTAGCAATTTCCGGTCCAAATAAACCTTTGCTGAAAATAAATTAATATTTAATATTCAAACACATAAGCACACATGCATACATACATATTAATGGACTTGGATGACTCAAGACAGTAAATATTAACATATAATTTCATCAATGGACAATAAGCCACATGAGAAAAGTTTAGAGATGTACATGATATTCCTTAGATACAAATCTAACTAACATTACAAAAAGATTAAATCTTGGAATAGCTTCCAGTTACACACTACTAAAGATAAAAAGATCTAGTGACCTAGAGGTGAGAAGCTGCCCTGCAATCTCAAAGATGTGTGGTTCAAATCCACTAGCTCTGTGGAATAAAGATGGGTAATCTCCTCCCACGCATTTTACTGCCTCTGAAAGCTCTCTGAAGGGTCAGCTATGGGTCAGTTCCAACTTGATGAGACCCAACAACAAAGATAGATCCTTTGAATCAATGAATAAGGATAGCAGAAGAATTGATGCTTTGGAGTGGTAGTGTAGGAGAAGAGTATTTAATATCCCATAGACAACCAGAAGAACAAACAGATATCTTAGGAAAAGTGCAGCCAGAATGCTTCTTGGAGGCAAGGACAGTGAAGCTTCACCTCCTGAATTTGAGGCTTATTGCTAAGCGAGACTATTCCTTAGAAAGGGATATCATGCTTGGAAAGGTGAAGGGACAGTGAAAAAGGCAAGAAGACCCTCAACAAGATGGATAGACACAGTGACTGCAGACATGGGCTCTAGTGTGTCAGAGACTGTGAGGACGGCATAGGATAGCACAGGGTTCAGTTCTGTTCATAGGAATGCTGTGAGTCATACTCAATTCAATGCCACCTAACCATAGCATTAAAGATCATTTCTAGGGACCTCTGGTGGCTTAGACCACCAGAGTTAAAGGTTTCCTATTTGGCGGCTTGAATCCAGTAGCAACTCTGGAGGATGGACAATCTTCTGTGTGATTTTTTTTTTCCTTCAGATCTGTATATATGAGTTGGTTCCAACTAGGTGGCAATGAGTGAGTGAAAGAGAAATTCTGAGCTATTAAGCCTGTGCTTCTGTTAGAACATTATCTCCTGCCAGCCTCCCCTTCTGGATTAGTGATTAACCTCATACTTGTCTTTCATAGTGAATACTAGATTTATTTTTTCTGCCTCAGATCACTACATTTTCTAGTCAAACTCCCAGAACATTTATTTCTCAATATTTTCCCATGGCAGGTTACTTCTTGCAATAGTTCAAATAATACTTTCTCAAAGAGATCATTTCTGACATACCCCAGTCATCAAGCCCAGCTATTAATTCTTTTCACATCAAATAAATTTATGTGAAATTTTTTCATTGATTGATTGGTTGATTCATCTTCTGTATGCCATACAATATAGAATACAAATGCTATGAGGGCAATTTCCTTCTCTGACTGGTTTATCTTACATTCTCACAATATAGTGCAATGTATGACACATCACTGTTTAATTAAAACCTTGTCAACTAAGTATTTGAAAAGATATAACATGACTTTTGAGAAAAAAACAAGTCTAGAGGCAAAGACTGACAAAATGCTAACAGTTACATGGAAACACTGGAAGGATGTAACACCTACAGACAGAACAATTAAGGATTTTTTATTGTTTCAAAAGTAAAAGTAAAAAGCAGAAATTATCTATGATTTTTATATTACTATTTGTGTTTTTAAAAAGATGTGGAAGTTATTCATAGATAAGAGAGATCATAAAAGATCCTTAATTTTAGGAGAAATAAATAAGACAACTCATTTGTTAGAGAACTCTGGTGCCAAGAAGTTGTACTGCCAAGCTAAAGGCACATAATTCAAATCCACCAGCTGCTCCACAGGAAACACATGGGCAATCTCCTCCCCTGAAGTTACTGCCTCTGAAAATCCACTGGATCACTTCCAACTTAAAGGTATCTAACAGAAACATTTATTAAGCCTTAAGAAATTGGACCCAATCTTTGTGCTATCTTTCAAGGCCAGGATTAACTCATTGAATCCAATAGGATTATCTGATAGGGTCAAGCACGTATCTATACCTATAGTAAAACTTCTAGTTTTAAAGGCTTGCACTGTATAACACACACACACACACACACACACACACACACACACACACAAAAACACCTCTCTCACTCACCATTTCTTTGGAAGCTTGTAAATTAGCATAGTTATCAGTTCGAGGCCACCAGCTGCTCCATGAGAGAAGGATGGGCAGTCTCATCCCATGCAATTAACTGTCTCTGAAAACCTGTAGGAGCGTCAGCTATGAGTCAGTTCTGACTCAACAGTACACAACAACAACAACAATCTCCTAAGAAAACAGGGAATTTTGGTGGCCTGTTGTTGTTGTTGTGTGCCGTCGAGTCACTTGCGACTCATAGCGACCCAATGTACAACAGCCCTAAACTCTGCTCTGTCCTGTGCCAATCGCACTTTCTCTGACACTCCCATCCCGATTACCCGAGTCACTGAATCAATCCACCTCATAGAGGGCCTTCCCCTCCTGCACTGTCCCTCCACCCTCCCAAGCATGATGTCCTCCTCCAAGGACCTGTCCCTTCTTGCAACATGTCCAAAGTATGTTAGATGGAGCCTCAGAATCCTTGCCTCCAAGGAACCTCCCCGTTTAACCCTTGGTGGCCTAGTGGTAATATAAGCTGTGCTGCTAGACTGAAGGCAAGCGATTCAAATCCACTAGCTGATCCATGGGAGAAAGATGAAATCTCCACTCCTGTAACTTATTGCTTCTGAAAACCTGCTGGAGGATCAGCTACGGGTTGGTTCTGACTCACTGGTGCATAATAACATACCAAGGGGGAAAAAATAATGTACTAAGAAAATAGTTACTGAGGATTTAAAAATTTCCTTCTTTTTTCCATTTTCATCAATGAAGAGATAGGTTTTCTATGAGATTGTGAAGACTGAAAATAACTATGTTATAATTTGATACAACCCATAGATTACACAATTAATATGAAATTAGAGATGACCCCTAGCCAACTACAGAGAGAATTTCTTACTCTGTACATATTTGATCATAAGTTTAGTATCAAGGGTAAGAATCAATCCATATATTCCAAGCTTCAAATATCACAATCTAGTAACTGAAACCATATATAAAAATAAAATGAAATTACAACAACAACAAAATCCCATATAAAAATTCCCCTGATACATTAAAAATGTCTTTGAAAAGAATACTTTTTAGAGAGAAAGCAATGTAATGTTATACTGACATCTCAGCTGTGGCTTTACTTTGGCCATAAAAAAAGAATGCTTGCCTTTTTAGAGTAGATTAACAAGTAAACAGCAGAAACAAAGGGGATTCTACTGTGTATTATGTTTCAGACATAGCAAGGCTTAGAAGTGATCCCAGAATTTATTACACAAAATTTATTCAATTCCACAGTATCTGTCATGGCAACTTTTATATTTACCAAGAACAGAAAAGTCATTCTTTGCCAAAACTTGGCCTATAAGGCAGCTTACAAATTTATGATTCAGGAAATTCACATAATATAGTGTAGATACACTTACACTGGTGTCAAACGGAACACTTTTGCTCATAAGAAGAGACTTCTTCTCTCCGTTCTGATTGTTGTTAGGTGTCAATGAGTCTAGTAAGACAGCAACCTTATGAACAACAGATCTGATAGAGGTACATACATACTGACATAAGGATTCAGTTCTAGATTTCTTAACACTACTGTATTTCTATATTCTAGTCCTTCTAGTACTGTAAGCTAAAGGAAATGTGAACTCAGTTTGAGCCACAGAAGGTCTACACTTTCCCCATAGAACTCACCTCTGAGTGAGATTTATGATTGATCCCATCCGAATTTATTCCTGTAACTCTACCTATACAATCATCACAATTCTTGAATTTTCTACATTATTGGTCAGGCTTCTATTTTAATCTACAAATATCTCTCACTGGAGTTAGTGACAAGAATGTAGAAAAAAAAAGTTGATAAAGAAGCCTCACAGATATTCATAGAAGAAAAATAAAAGAAACTAAAGGGGAGAATTAAGGAGAAAAAATTTTTTGATTAGTTGAGCTGCAAGCAGGAAAGGAAAAGAGGGGAAATAACTCCCAAGAAAAATAAAATAAGACAAGCAAAAACAGAGCACCAGAATCCTCCTAGGGGGCCCCACATTAACACAGATGCAAATGTCCATCTATACCCCACCCTTAGGGTGTGGGAGAACAGTCCGGTCTTGACCAATAGTCTTATAGCCACTGAAAGAACAAAGGGCCCGTGGACAGGGATAAAGTATAAAAAGCCACACACTCCTGCAGCACTACATCGATTCTCTGGACGCATCTGTGATCATCACAGTCTCCAAGAGCAGCCACCATGGTGCATTTTACTGCTGAAGAAAAGGCTATCATCACAAACCTGTGGGGCAAGGTGAATGTGGAAGAAACAGGAGGAGAGGCCCTCGGCAGGTAAGTTCTGGGAGGCAGGAGAAGGGAGGAAAGAAAGGAAGCTGAGCCTGGCAGGAATGCATGCCAGTGGCCAGGCTTTGTGACAAGCTCTGATTTTCCATCTGCCTCGATCCCATCCTACAGGCTCCTGGTTGTCTATCCTTGGACCCAGAGGTTTTTTGATACTTTTGGCAACCTATCTTCTGCCTCTGCAATCATGGGAAACCCCAAGGTGAAAGCACATGGAAAGAAGGTACTAACCTCCTTCGGAGATGCTGTTAAGAATTTGGACAACCTCAAGGGTACCTTTGGCCACCTGAGTGAGCTGCACTGTGACAAGCTGCATGTGGATCCTGAGAACTTTCGGGTGAGTGCAGAATATGTTTGTACTCTCTTATATCTGAGGCAACTTAGACAACTGAACATTGATCTGAGCACAGATAAGAATATTTAAACCCAAAACCAAACTCACTGTCACATTCCATTGAGTTTCTGAGGAAATAAATCTTAATAAAAACACACTGCTTTCTTTTCTTTCATTTCCTTCCTTCCTTCCTTCCTTCCTTCCTTCCTTCCTTCCTTCCTTCCTTCCTTCTCTTTCTTCCTTCCTTTCTTTCTTCCTTTCTCAGAAATGAGTTCATGGTTTCAAACTATTGGTCTTTTAGTTAGCATTTCAGTATATAACTCATCATACCAGTAGAGTTCATTCTAAACCACCTGCAACTATGAGACATTTGAGATCTTAGGTTTGTAATACAGCAACTCTGGAGGACTGAGTTCAAACGAACCCAGAAAGTCATAAGGCCTGAGGAATGCTCCTAGAAATTTAATTCATCTTGTGAAAACTCTGTTGGCTTTTAGAGGTTTGTCTAGAAATTAGGAACATGCTTCATTTTGTGTCTAATTAGACTCATACAGATAGATAAAAGACATTTGTTCTCTTTTCTCCCATATCTATTTGTGTTTATTCCCTTCACATTAGAAGTAGAAACGAATGCCCAGGGAAAAGAGTCATCAAGTATATAAAGGTTAATTATAGCAAAGTTACCCAGATGACAAGCATGTATTACTAAAGATATTCCTGTGTTGACTGGGTATTTGTATTAAATCTGCTAATGTTTCATGTCCCCTAAAACTCCAGGGCACAGTGCCTTTGAGAGAAGGAAATGACTGCAATATGTAATTTAAGAGGATATTAAAAAGAAAGCTGTGAGGTCTTGCTTTTGTTTCTCTTTCTTCCCCTATCTTTACCCTTCCTTCCCCTAAACAAATGTATGGACACACTGCTATTAAAATATTGAAAAAATGAAATTATGAGTAGGGGCAAATATACGGATCTCTGGTGGCCTAATGCAAGAAGCTGAACTGCAATCTTGAAGGCACATGTTTCGAGCTCCATGGGAGAATGATGGACATTCTCCTCCCATGCAATTAACTGCCTGTGAAAACCCACCAGACAGTCAGCTATGGGTTGGTTCTGACTCGATGGTACACAACAACAAAGGGGCAAGTATAGATAAGGAAGCATATTAGCTATGTTTAAATACTAAGCAAGATCATAGCCTTTGAGGAAATTGACAGCCTTGGGCATGCATTATGGTTTTGTGGCCAGATACTTGAGGCTGGACTATAGATTCTAGCTTATCATGTGAATCCATATGAATGTATCTGACTGTTGTCTCTTTCCATCTCTACAGCTCCTGGGAAATGTTCTGGTGGTTGTCTTGGCAAAACACTTTGGAAAAGAATTTACCCCTCAAGTGCAGGCTGCCTGGCAGAAGATGGTGATTGGTGTGGCTAATGCTCTAGCCTACAAGTATCACTGAGCTCCTTACTCTTCACATGATAACATAATTAATAAAGTTTTCTGCAAAGAAGTATGGTTTACTGTACTATTCTTATTTCTTTTTCATGTAACTTTAGATAATTAGTTCCCAGAGGTACTCTCCATTTACCTTTTTGCTAATGATAGGAACTTTGACAAGAAAAGAAACTCTTCTGGAAGTTTTGCAGAGGAAATCAGGAGCTCTTGGACAGTATTGGAGGAAGTTATTATTGTTGTCATTAGGTGTCATCAAGTTGACTAAGACCCTAGGAACAATTGATCTAAACAAAGAGGAAGGGTTTTATGGGCTAAGGAATTCTTCGAACTTAGATATTTTGAGAAAAGTGATAAAATACTTCAGGAAATGTAAAATAAGTAAAAAGTAACAAGGATGGTACCCACTAGAGAAAATGTAATGCAGATATAAGAGGAAAAGGCTCAAAAGCATATTGTATGAAGCTGGATGCACAACTCTCACCACACACAACAATCAATTCGAGGTGGATCAGAAACTTAGGTGTAAAGCAAAAACCATAAAGATCCTAACAGACAAAGTATGACCAACTTTAGAAGACCCAGCCCATGGTATAAAAAGGCTACTCCAGTAGCATTAGCAAAGTGTGACAGGACAGCAAGCAATAAATGTTGGAGAGGGATATAAAGAGATAGGAACTTTCATACACTGTTGGTGGAAGAATAAAATGGTACAACCACTACGGAAGGCAGTTTGGCGTTTCTTCAAAAAGCTGAACATAGAAATGTCTGTGATATGATCAAATTATTCCACTGCTCGAAATATACCCTGATAAAATTAGGACAGAAACACAAATGAAGATTTGTATACCATTGTTCATACCAGCATTATTCACCATCACAAGAACATGGCACCAGCCCAAATGTCCAACCACAATTGAATGAATTGAGAAATTGTGGTACATTTACACAATGGAATACTATACAACACTAAGGGACAATGATTTAGAAAATTACATAACTTGGGAAGCATTGGGGAGCTTTATGCTGAGTGAACTAACTCAGTACCAAAAGGACAAATTCTGTATGAAACTGTTACTGTAAAAATAGAAAGATAACTAGTAAAACAAGTATGAGGATCCAAGAGGGTGGAAAGTAGGAGCAGAGGGATGAGGATATGTAGGAGGGTATTCACAGGGTCACACAATTTGATGGATGGAGGGAGGGCTGGGTAAAAGAAATTGGAAACATCTGGCAGTGATCTGGAAAGACAGGGAAATGGTGGGTATAGTTTGATGTTGATTTATTTTATAAAATATAATGAATCGGAATGATTGCACGAAACATAATGCGGATGAAAGATACTGTCAAATGCAATGTATATGAACTTTTAAAAGAAACCAATATGAAATAAAAATGTAAAAAACAAAAATAAACATTAATTTAATTTAATGTAATTTATTTTCTAAGACCATTTAACTGTTTACAACCCTCTTAGGCTAGACTGGGATGAGAACAGTTGGATATCAGAATGGAAGTTTAGCTCTTTTAAAAGGCAAAAGCTACAGAACCTAAAATTTACTTTTTTGAAGAACTTCGTGGTTTAAGCAGTGAGATACATACCTCAAAAGTTAGAATGATTATGTGCTATCAGGGATGTGAATGTCGAAGATTGTATATTAGCTAAATGCTTCACCAAATACATATTAATAAAAGTTGTGTGAAGAGAGAAGGATGTAAGGAGAAAATGCACAAGAAACTCAGAAGTCTGTATCACATCATGTCTGAGCTAAAGGTTATTACTGTGAGAGTGAGACTAAGAATGGGAAAACACTGCAGAGAATGGATGGGGCAGTTAGTAAGGCTAGATTAATAGGAGATACGTGTGATTAAGAGTTAAAACATGTTTATGGGCAAATTTAATGTGATACACAGGGAGATGAAGGTGCCAAATAAACCACAGATCAGCTAGTTTCATGTTTATAATGCTTCACTAGTTTTCCCAAATGAACAAATCTCCCTCCTCCACTGTTACTTTGCATAACAAGTGATGGTCTTTTCAATCATTTGTTATGATGTTAAGAGCTGGGCTATGAATAAGAATGACAGAGGAAAATTTGATGCCTTTGAACACTGGTATTGGAGAAGAGTACTGGAGATCTCATGCACTGCCAAAAGAACAAACTCTCTCTACGTTGTTGAAACGGTACAACCAGAGTGCTCTTGAAAGTAAAAATGGTACAACTTCGCATCACATATTTTGGGCATGTTTCTAGGGAGGCTATTCCTTATGGACACCATGGGAGGACATCATGCTTGGGAAAGTAGACGGATGGCAAAGGGAGGAAAACCCTCAACTAGGTGAATTGACACAGGAACTGCAGCAATAAGCTTAAGTGTGTCAGAGATTGAGAGAATGACACAGGAAAGGGCAGGGTCCAGATCCGTTGTTCACAGGGAAACTCTTGAGTCATACTCAACTCAAGGGTACCTAACAACAATAACTCCTACCTTTGATATTCAGATGACAAGTCATCTATCCATCCCTCCCAGGTTGTTTTCTCTTCATTTCCCCCATTGTACAACAGGGTTGTAGCCTTTCAGTATATTTATTCAATCTGGATGCCTGGCAAATTATTCGAGAATCTGAACAATATCAAGAAGACCATGGCATCTGGGTTGAAGGAAGGCTTACTGACAATCTAAGACATGCAGATGATAAAACTTTGCTTTTGAGAGTGGAGGAGTGAGAATTTTGTATAATTGACAAATTATTAATAGAAAATATCTTTTTAAGAACCGTGCATATGTTGTTATGGAGCTCTTCTCCCAACCCAAAGTCATGTGTTTTGAGCCTACTCCATACCTCCTTACCATCAGGCCATCAAAGCTCCTATTCTACAGAGAAGCTAAAGTGAAAAAAAAAAATAAATAAAAAATTATCAAGTAAGAGAACTAACTAAAAGAAGTCAAAAGAAGTTCAAGAATATAAAACAAATTACCATGACACATGCAAAGACTTGAATTAGAAAACCAGAGAGGAAATATGCTCAGCATTGGCATTGCTCAAGCTTAAAGCATTGAAGAAAAAAAAGTCTTGAGCCACAATCCTTAAGGATTTTATGGACAAAATAGTTAATATTGGATCATATGTTTGTCTGATTAAAAATGGTCAGTACCAGTCCATTCAGATCACTAATGTCTGGAATATAGATCTTTGGGAGATTCATTTAATTTTTTATAACAACTAATTTTCCTAGATCCATACTTCATGCATTCCAAGTTATCTTTATTGATGGATGGTTGAAACTATTTCTGCTGGTTTTTAGTTTGCCACACTAGCAAAGATTTTTCATTAGCTCAAAATTTTTCCATGTTATTAGTCTATTTTAAGGAGGCAATCATTTCCCTATTGTATTTTGAGGACCTTCCAACCTGCGGGATTTATCTTCTGAAATTATGGCAATGTTCATTTTCAAGGGTCTTTAATTCTAGCAGTGAGCGGCCAGGCCTACTTCTTAGTCTATCTGGACTCTCCCCTGAAACATGTCTATCATGTAAGACCTTTAACATATATATTTATATTAGAAATTCTAGTGTCTCTGTTTACAGACTCAAGTCACCAAGAATAATAGACTGACAGATGAGTGATTTGATCAGCAATTATGTATGCACTTGTTTCTTCTTATTGTTGTTAGATGTCGCCAAATTGAATACGACTCATAGCAACCCTATGAACAAAAAATCTGCTCTATCCTGTGCCATCCTCACACTTCCTAACACACAAGAGCCCATGCAGCAGTCACCATGTCAATCCACTTGGCTGAGGATTTTCCTCTCCTTCACTGACCCTCCATCTTGCCTACTATGCATTTGCATACACAGATTTTAATAAAACTGAGAAAATGAACTTCTTAGTATTGATAGTATTGCAAGTCATATTTAGTAACATCAGGAAACTGACATTATTCCTTTCCAAGGAATAGCCTCACCTAGCTATGTAGACAAAGCTTTGAGTTCTTTGCTTCTAAGGAGCCCTCTGACTGCATTTTCCCTAAGACATATCTGTTCTTTTATGTTTATCCATGGGATATTCAGTACTCTTATTCAGCATCACACCTTAAAGGCATCAATTCTTCTTCTGTCATACTCAGTCATTGTTCATCTCTCTGCTGCATAGCAGGAGATTAAGAAGACCATGGCCTAAATCAAGTACATCTTTGTCTTCAAACTGACGTCATTGCTCTGCAGCATTTTGGAGAAGTCCCTGAGAGCGAAATGTCTACTGATTTTCTGACTGCTGGTACCAAGAATGTTGATTATTGATTCAAGCAAGGTGAAATGATTGACTGTTTCAATCCTTTCTCTGTATATTATAATGTTGGCTGTTGGACCTGTGGTGAAGACCTAGATGTTACAATGCAATTCATACCAAAGGTTGTAGTCCTTGATCTTCAACAGCAAGTGTTGTATATCCTTGTCACTTCCATTTAGCAAAGTATATCATCTGCAGAATACAGGTTGTTGATGACTCTTCCTCTAATCTTGATGCCATATTCTTCTTAATAGAGTCTGGTCTCACTAATTATTTTAGATTGAAAATAGCTCAGCACACAGATTGAGTAAGTATGGAGAAAAGATACAATCCTGATGTACAGCCTTCCTGATTTTAAACCATGCAGGGTTCCCTTGCTTGATCAGATAACAGCTTCTTGGCCTTTGTACAGATTCTGTATGAGAACAATTATGTGTTTGGGGATTCCCATTCTTCCCAATGCTAGCCACAATTTGTTATGATCTACACATATCAATAAAACACAAATAGACATTCTTCTGGTATTCTCTGCTTTCAACTAATATCCATCTGACATCAGCAATGAGATCTGGTGCCATGGCCTCTTCTAAACACAGGTTGAACTTCTGATTATTTCCTGCCAATGTACTTTTCTACCTGCTTTTGAATAATCTTCAATAATATTTTACTTGCATGAGTTATTAATGATAATGGGCAATCATTTCCACATTCTT